TCAAACATTCTTCTAAGTGGTATTAGCACCAGTCTTTCTATTTGCTGTACAGAGGTAACTCGTGGTTGCTGTGATGCTAAACAATGTGACATTGATTTGTCAAATGTGAGAATGATTACCCCTGGTGGACAGTGTTTGGTGGAGCTCCCCAATTAAAACAAGCTTGGAAGCAGAAGTGGCATCTATTTCCAAAATAGCTTGCCTCTGAAAACCCTATGAACTTGGAAAAATGATGAAAGTTATACAAGTATTCAGGTCTTTTGTTCATAGGGTTGCTATGAGTAGTCTATTACTCGACGACACTTAACAACAGCAACAACATACCACTTACGATCCCTAACTCTTGTCTACTAGGGATTGATAGAACTTCATTGTACAAGACAACAGTAATTTGGGTTCAGATTCTGTGGAACAGAAAATAACTATTAAATAATTATCAAAATAAAATACATGATTTAGAGAGTGTGTCTGTTACCATGGCATGTAATTTTCGCAAAATGGTTAACTATTTTAATCTGCAGCTTTCTGAGTCTATTGTGTACTCTATCCTCAATCTGCTGTGAGGTAAAGTTCTTGGGAGAAAGAAATGAAATAATACACTTATAAAATATGTACCACAATACCTGGTGCAGAGTGTTACCAGCGGCCATTGAGTCAATGCCAACTCATGATGACCATATGGTGCTGAGAGGAAATATATCATCAAGACGTCTTTCTGAGGCACCTGTGTTGTTGTCATTACACACTGCAGAGTGGAAGCAACCCACAGTTGACCCTCCACTGGGTTTTCAGAGTTAGTAAATCACATGAAGGAGAATGCCCATCCCTCTTTCATGGAGCAGATAGTAGACTGAAACCAATACCCTCTGGTTGGCAGTGCAGCTCCTCCCCACGAGGCGATAAGAGCCCTCTGAGGTGCCTAGGGGAGGTAGGGAATGTTCAAATAGCCATCCTATTGGTTAACAGCTGAGTGCTTTAGTTATTTATGCTAAAAAACACTCTTTGGCAAAAATTAACCCACAAGTATCAGCTGATGTCTCACCATTAGTATTTGCATAACAATGGATTAATAGACTTGAAAATAATTTTTATAAGTAGAAACTCCATTTTCTGGTAGTTGATATTATAATTGCCAGGGAGCTCTACTGGGTTAGTGGTAAGGAATTATGCTACTAATGGTTCAAATCTACCAGTTGCTCCACGGGAGAAAGATGGGGCAATCTCCTTGAGTGTGACTTACTGCTTCTGAAAACACATGGGAGGGTCAGCTCTGAGTCAGTTCCAACTCAACAGTGCCCAACAACAACAACCCATCATTGCCCTATATTTTGTTGCAGCACAAAGCTATAAAGTGTGCATTTGCATGTCATGAAAAGCCAATAGATGTATCTCCTCCTTCTGATGTGCATGGAGCCGTAAGACTTTAAAACGAAAATGCCAGTTAACATAGAGGATATCTAGAGCAATACGGTGGGAGAAAAAAAATTTTCCATTTGTTATGAATACAGAATATTTTAAATTGTTTAAAAAGCAAAACCCAGCTTTTTGCTTAAGTAGGCCACCAAAATTGACGTATCCAGTAGAAAACAAAAGTCTTTCATTTTCCTTTTCACACATTTAAAAAAATATGTGGGTATGAAAATAAGAGCTCAAAGTGAAAGTTGATAGGGACAAAAGAGTACTGTTATCTTCTTAAAAAGTTAAACTACTCATGAACACTCAAGCTGAATTCTTCTTGAAAACCTTAAAAGTTGAATGTGCTCAATAAGAAATTGTTCACTTGATTTTCTGTTCTGCTTTGTATATTCTCAAAACTAACAGAAATCAAGTAAAACATTCAATTAAAAAAGGGGGGAAATTTGGATTTGCTATGTTGTTGTTGTT